GTAAACTGCTTTTGAAGCAGCTGACCTGCATAAAAACATAAGTGAAAATAGTAAATATGACAATTCTTCTACTAGAGCTCTAAAATTCAAAATTTATTGGGAGAGATTGGAAAAAGGGAGCATTAATTAACTTTCTATACTCTACAGATTTTGCTTAAGTCCTTCAGCAGAACTGAGACAATTCTAAAGCTATCTGATTTCCAGCAACAGAAAACAGCACATGAAGATGGGAAAGAAAAAGAACTCAGCAGAGCAGTGCTAAAAATGAGGGTGTTTCACAGCATAGCCACATCCAATTACTTTCTGTTTGTTCCACTTAGCTTTTCTGGGTGCAACCAGACTAGCAAAAATGCTGAGATTTCTCATTTCAGGCCTTACAAGGACAGACATTTATTTCAAACAAAACTTAGCTGAAAAAGGTTGGGTGCATATGCCACCAGTATTGTTGGGCCCACATGTAACAATGGCAGTGGAAAATTAGAAATGCAGTCTCATTCAGTTTTTCATTTAGATAATACAAAGGCTCCCTAATTGTTTCTGTGGTGCTTGATTTGTGCTGGAGTAGGACCGTAAGAGTGTTATTCCTCGGGGAATAGGGATCGTCGTGAAAATGAGATGTGAATCTTGTCAGGCTGCCTGGTGTGTATGAAATTTTAACTAGATAAATTCTGGTACAAGGAATTTTGTTAGAATTGCTGAATAATAATTATAAAAGTTCTGGAAGTTGATTTTTCCTGCTCTGATAGCAATTGTAATGACTCAAGATTAATTTTAGCATTAAAAAAAGAGGTAATTGCGGTACTTAAAACCCTGAGGCAAATCAGTGGAAATGCTTTGGAAAGGATAATTATACCTGTATGAAGAATGCTGTCTGTTTAATAGCATTGACTGGTGCAATTAAGGAGAAGTGGAGGAAGGGCCAATTTGTTACTTCTTTAACCGTTCTCTGAAAAAGTGGTTTGTTTTTTCTAAGGTGATTCCCTGAGGTTTAAATATTTTAAGGACTGTTGGGGGGATCTTGTATCTAGTTGTCATTAAGTGCTTAACATCACAGAGATGCTGGTGTTTTAGCATCTAAACAAGAACAGTTTATCTGGCAGGTGTTTTGTTTCACATCGTTAACCTAACCTGGCCATAATCCCAGTCTAAACATCCATAAAGAGATTATTCTTAATCGGGGGAAGACAGGACAAGAAGAGGATTCTCTTTGTTGTTCCAGAACAGCAGCAGGTTTGGGCTATTTTGCCACTGATACGAGTTAGAGCAGACTGGAAGCTGACTGGAGGCGTAGGATCTGCTGCCACAAAGCTTTCCCTAGGGTTTGCCTGCTCAAACGGAAATAGTGATGCGTGTGTTTTTAAGTATAGGTGTGGGAACGCACGTGTCTGCACACACACCAGTCATTTGCAAATTAATGCAGGGATTTTGTGTCAATGCGTTGGAGAATACATGCTTGCATATATAAACAGGCATGGATTTTACCAGGGGGAATAGAGGGAACAGAGTTTAAGAGGGTTTTAATCCTTCCATGAATCCATATCTTTCATTTCCTTGCTGCAGTGCTGGCATTGCTTCTGGCACTGACCTCGGATCTTGAGTGCTTAAAAAAATTTCAACTAAAAATTAAAAGGGAAGGCCCAAACCAGTTGCACAAAGGTAGTAGGGCTGTACGGAAAGGGCAGCACTCTGCTCCTCAGAGTCGTAGCACAGAGACAGGATTTTTTTCTCTGCTGGAGGTTGTTCTGAGCTCTCTAAGGCAGCCCTTCACCAGCTGGAATTGCAGAACATCACTGAGGCAACAGACAGCTCTGCCATCGTTAAAGCCAGCATACCCGCTGTTACATAATACAGGTAGGTAATAGCACAAAGGTACTCTTTCATATCAGCTATGGCTTTATTTCTGTATCTGCCCACAGACAGATGCATAAATATGTATTTATTTTAGACCTACAGAGTATTAAAACAGCATTCCAAAAGAAAATAATCCCCTGAATTTGCTTATGCCTGAGCAGACCCCACAGAAACCGATACAGGATTGATGTTAATCACTTTATTTGGGGCACTGCTTGAAAGCTGTCAACCAGTGCTGCCTAGAACATAAACCCGCCATCACTATCACCATCCTGGCTGCACCCACAGAACCCACTGCAGAGAGTATAAAGCCTCACTACTTAAATTACAATGAACAAACATGCCATTAAAACAGGATGATGTAATCAGGAGAAGGATAACTAGAAATTTCAGCATTAGAAATTTCTAAGTTAGAATGAATTACAAAAAGTATTTTAATTTTGCAAAATTTAATGCTGACAAGGAGTTCACTTTCTCCTTTTCAGTGAGAACATCAGCAGTGGACAGAAAGTCAAACAAGCCGGCCATCGTGGACTGTTGCAGTAAAATACTTGATCTACCAGGTGCAAAAAAGATACTAACACATAGCTCGAGAGGCACTATGACTGGAGCAGCAGGAGAGAAACGAGTACTTAGGAGCAATGAGTGTGTTTGGTTTATCAAAGTCCAGATCCTACAGTGGCTTTACAGAGCTTTATTCAAGTAGAATGAGCTAGTCCAAAGAGAGGTTCTCCGAGATCTGCACTGCAATTAATCTTTCCATTCTTTTGATTAATTGCAGACACGTACCTTATCACTCCTATTAAATGACCCTGGTCCATTTCCAGTCCCCTAGCAGCACGCAGCCTACTGGTGCTTGGTGACTAGCGAGGAAATAACTGACCACAACACATGATTTTCATGGGGCAGTCCTTTAATGATTCATAAAAATATGAATGGTACCACAACAGCCTCTCTTGTCCATCTCAGTTTCTAAAACGAAAAGCAGGAGCCAAAGAAAGACGCTGAAACTGTTCTCTGTTACGATTTTTTCAACAGTCATTTTTGCCTGTCCTAATCAGAATGATGTCTACATGTTTATATTCTATTTTAATAAAAAAATCTCATAATTCACCTTGAAAATATTTGTTTTTTCTTATGACAGAAATGAGAAAAATGGAGTGATTTTAAAAGAATGTTGACAGCCACAGTAGATCCCCAGAAGAGGCTGCACATCTCACGATCGCTGATGGAAGGACAGCACCGACCTCTCGAACGCACAGCGTTTATCAGCTCTGCGTAAGTTAAGGAAGTGGTGAAGCAATGTACTTGGAAAACTTTTATTCTCATCCTACATTTCTTCAGCTCTGAGGGCTACTCAGCTCCAGATTTTTAATTTAATCCATTGTATAAAAGCGTAACTGCAAAATTGTGTGGGCTAAGTTCTGCATTTTCCTATGACTTAGCAAAATTCAGCTTAGCTACTAAATTCTCACTTCATCTTCTATCAGTACTAATATATATACATGACTGAAAAACAACCTGCTTGGACGTGTTGCTGTAAGCCACATCATGAATTACAGACCCTGCTCTAAAACTTTTTTCATGTATTGATACTGCTGATGCAATTGCATAAAAATCTTATTTTTTGGAAACATGATGCATCCATGCCATTCTAGGTATCCAAAGCCCAAATTTTTCCAGCAAGTAAGTGAATGAGAATGAGGTTAAATGGAAATGGTGTGTGTTGAGCCAGAAAATATTAAACAAATACTCTTCCCCACCCCCCACCCCCCAACCAGCAAGTCGCTTCCTCTTCTAAAATAAACAAAGGCAGAAACAGAATGAAAGCATCTTCGCTTTTTTCCTGGTATCCTATTCATTCAGTAGAGTCAGAGATGCATATTTAATAGTTTTGCCCTAGAAGTAGCACATTACTGACTGTTATTTGAATTACAAACTAGTAACGTGTAAACTAATTAACAGAACAAAAGAGCTGACCCTGCTGCAGTGCCTATGTGTAGCGGTTTCATTTTGAGCGTAAGCAGATTAGACTGATGGGACGTCAGACATCCATACACTGTACCGAGAATATAACTGCCAATATTTCAACATTTAACAACTAGCATTATTTTCTTAAACATGTCCTTCATGGTGGATGTGACCTCCCAAACAAGGAATGCAGCAGATGAGGAGGTAGCAAAGAAGTCCAGTTGTAGCATCTTGGCCAAATTCCAGCTTCAGTAATTACACTTTGCTCTTAAATTCCTCCCGCAGCTCTACTAGAATAAAGCTCTTTTTCAGTTTGTCCTGAAGCATTGTGTAGTATTTCTGTGAAGCTGTACAACACTGAAAAATATCTCTTCCCATTAAAATTGCAAGGGGAATTTGGGTAGACAGAAAGCTATTACCCAGAGTTTGAGTTTGGGCAGAACACCAAGGTTAACTTACACTTGTGTTGGGAACAAGGGAACTTTGCTGACTAGGAGTGGCAGCCCCTTGCTAAAGAGCACAAGTGGGAATAGCTTGCTGCGCTGCCTGAATACAAACTTGGAAATTTGGGATCTCCGCATCTGGAAAGGACCACAGGGCTGTTTCCTAACAAATGACTCTGTGTAAAAGCCTCTGCTGCTGTAGTGTATCTTATCACAACCTTATTTGGTTATTTAGTAATATTTATGAAATTATTTGTTGACTAAAAATGTTCCAGAAACTTAAGAAAACCCCAAAAATAAACCCACATTGAAAAAAAGAAGTCTTTACCAACAGAAAAGCAGCTACATAACCCAACGATGCCAAGGCAAGTATTTGAGTTTCAGTAAGTAGATACAGCAAGAACTGTTCAAAGCGTATTTCGGCAACCTGAACCAGGCCTGCAGTACTACTGAGAGCGCTCTGTGTTATGCTCAATAGACAGCCGTGACAGTTTTCTTAGCCTCGAGTGGGACTCATTTAAAATATTTAGGTAACAGACTCCCAAATTAGTTTATACCCAAACCCAAAAAGTCATTCTTATTAAAGTAGAATAATTCAGACAGTCACTGTACAAATTCCTGTAGAAAGGAAAAAACCCTCTCCAAATCCATCCACATACATGAAGTCTGTTTGCTGTTTGTATTTTGTGCCCTTTTTTTTTTTTTTTTTCCTTCCTGTTGTCGCCTTTTTTCAGATCAGGGAAGCTGTAAGCTTGGTGCTCTTGTTTCGCCCATCTCTTTAACCTCAGCTTTCTTGTATTCTCTTGCCCACAGCCAGCTCAGAATAACCAGCACGTGATGCCAAAGCCAGCAGTCAGTATCACCACTGCCACCAGCAATCATTTGTCTCACGCGTAACTCGGGTGGCTTTTTGGCAATGTAGTAAATCCGTAGTTTTTCAATATCCAGAGCATCTCCACTGGCAGTCAGTGTGCTGTTAGAATGAAATAGGGAGTTGTCTTCTGTATCTTCTCCAAAGTAAGAGGCTGCATCGGCTGTATCTACATGACACTGAGATTTCTCATTCTGGTTCAGGCAGATCTGGATAAATGGGGAATCATACTGAATGGCTGCAATGTACTTGGGGTGCAGTTTGCACTGGCTCTCAGACGGATGTTTCGGGGCGTTTGCTACATCGGGAACATCAAAGGCACTGGACCTTTTTTTGTGCTTGATCTCAATGTAGATCCAGCTTGTTCTAACCCCTTCACCGCAACTCGGGCGTTTGTCACCCTTTTCAGTTCTTCTTACTGCAGGAGTGTTCACACCCCAGCAAATACTGGTTTGATCGCACTGCCTGGCTTTGAAGACAACACTGTCCTCGCAGTCTGGATTGTAAATGCTGTCATTATCCAACAGTGCACAGGGACGGGCCCAGAAGTGCTTCTCCTTCAGGGGGATCATCTCTGCCTTCATCAGCAAGCATTCTGAAGTCAGCATTGAACAGTCTGCCTTGTGATTTGAACCTGCCAGTGTGCAGGTGCAGTTCCCAGATGCGCCCTGGGCACACTTGTTGGTCGCACAGGTAGAGTTGCTCTGCACTGATGAAGCTACCGCCAGCATCAAACCCAGCAAAACCCCAAAGAGATGCTCCATACTGCAGGTGCAAAGCGTGGATAGAGTCCCGAGTGACAGCAGCCAACACCTGAAGCTTTCATCCATTCACGGAGTCTACTCGTTTCTACACGCTGGTGTGCTGCTCCCTTTATCAAGATTCAAATCCAACCCACCAAACAGGTTCTTCCTCCACAGCTGGCATCTCGGACCCAAATCCTGGAGGAGGCAACAAGCTGCGCTTACATCTATTCCTTCTCGGGGAGCGGCACCGATGCCTGCCATCCCTCTGACTCGGTGAAGAAACAACAGCAAAGAGACAAAAGACAACCTGAAGCACAGCTGCTACCTTGGGCTTCCCTTATGGATGAAGGCACCAGCAGGTTGCCCTTTTCCTTCTTTAGACTCGTTATGGACTGTGTAAATGCACGTTTAAGGAACTTCTCCCTTTTCTGTTGGAAGAAATCCTACTCCTCTGCTTCCATCGTGGTTTTTTCCTGCCTCTTCGCTCACACAGCTTCTCTATCATTCCACTGTCTCAATTCTTAGCAGTTATGGACTTCCTCCTTTCTACTTTCACGTATTTATAGAATACAGCCTTTTGGAGTTTTACGTATGCTGCCTGGAGCAGCTGCCAGTTCAGGAGGAACTGTTTGTCAGTTTGTTTGTCAGATTGATGGCTGCTCTCCTACTTGCAGAGCACAAGCGCAGTCTCATCATCCAGCACGGAAAGCTTCTCTCCCCGCTTTCCTTTGGCACATACTTATCCCAAGGCAGCACTAGGAATGATGATTTTCATGCTTGCATTACCCTTACAAAGTTGTTAGCCATTTCTGAAGAAATTTGTCAGTTTGAACTTCGAGTAATGCCTTTCGCAGTACACTCCAGTAGCTCCCATGTGCCCTAATGATCTACAAAGCATGAGTTACCATTTCCTTGTGTTTTGGCAGCTGCTGAAAGGTATTTTCCCGTTTGCATTAAGCAAGTCCCATTCATCTGATTTGTCAAACACTGTCAGACACTTTATAAATTATTTTGGGACCAGTAATGACCACAGAACGGTGTATGTGCTGTTTTCCCACCCACCCAGGTTGCACACTGCTCCTTTACCTGAGCTGCTGTTTCCCCGAGGGCCTGCCCTGCTCCAAATCAATGCCAGCCGGGCTGCTTGCAGCGATGCCTTCTGTCCGTGTGAGCAGTGGGCAGCCACCCTGGGTGCCAGTGAGTATTTATAACACAGGATAGGTTTAAAATTAGAGCTCCAGAGGTAAATACCCGCTGCCACTAGAGAAGGGCACAGTCTAGAGCCGACCGATTTCTAAATAAGCCACAGAAACACACGCTACTTGAGGGAGCAAAGATGAGACAAGCTCTTCAAATCATTGCTGGCTCCTTTATAGCTCATTATGACACCTCTCCATTTCCCCTTCCTTCAGATAAAGATAACTGTAGTCACTTTCTTAGAAAATAGAGATCTACAGTTAAAATGATTATAAAAATTGCTAGGTATTTCAAGTTGTCACACTGACAATTCTTTGGTAATAGTTCAGTAACTTTTCCCATTTCTAATTCCTAACGTCATTTACCTACAGTAATCCGTTTTAAAATTTCACGTCCCTCCTTCAAAGTCAAAATCCATTTAACTGTCACCTACATACTCACACGTTGTCTTAATTTTATTTCACTTTATGAACTTCCGAGAGAGTAGGTTTTGCTTTTCTTCTCCCTGGAGAACAGAGCCTCAACTGCTGTAAACTTACAGCTCACAACCGGCTTCCGCGAAGCGATGGCAATTTCTGTATGGCTGAGCTGCGCTGCCCTTGTGCTTAGAAAGCGCCCTATGGAGGGGCAGTAACAGGACTTTTTGGTAAACAGTAGTTTGCTTTTATGATGATTAGCCTGGTCTCAGCCTTACGTTATCATCTGAGAGTCTCCCCTTCTTACAGACGCTTCCAGTGAAGCAGAGTAAAAGGGGATTGTTGAAAGTAATACATGGAAGAAGAACCCTAGGTAACGATACGGCATCATCTGCCTTTCCTGCTGGTGGAACATTCTCATTGCTGTCACCTTAATTAAAAACTGCATTCATTGTCTCTTCCCTCACAGGCGGCCAGAAGCATGACAACAGTTTTAGAAAAGACCCATCACCAAGCAAGAAGTGTGGAGCAGTGGCAAGAGAAGGGCAAAGGCAGCATAATTTAAGGTTTCCCCAACAGCCGCATCAATTGCCAAAATAAAAGTGTGGTTTTCCATTCACTTTTTTGCACTGGTGGATTTCTCCCTCTACAAAGGAGGAGAGAACAGACTTATTTTAATGACAAAAGTATTTCCAAACATCTATATATGTATATATATTTGTATATACATAAAAATGTATATGTAATGCCTCTGTAACGCTAAAAAAATAAAAAGTATTATTTCCTTAATCCATGCTAAGCTGTAATGGCACTACAAGAGTTAATTAAGTAGAACAGCAGGCTGTAAAAGGAATAATCCTGTAGGAAATGTGGAGTGCATTCTTTCTTCAGTGATTTCTGCTTCCATGGAAACAATTTCTCAGCGCAATTCTAAATCTTATAAAAATAGGGCACTAGGTCTATGTAAAACAGCAAGACGTTTCCAATTAAACAACCAGAACGCTTTTATCTAGGCCATTAAATACTTTGTTCGGTATCAAACACGATTAGGATGTTCACTGGGCTGTTACGGACCCGCTACTCACCGTGCGCAGCTCTGTGGGGCCGGGGGCAGTCACCCTACACGCACCCCGTGTCCCTCGCCGCCTCCGTGGGTGCGCAGCGACTGCACCGGGCAGCTCTGCGCTGCGCTCCGCACGTGGCACTGCAGCCCTGCGGTGCCCAGCAGGCCAAACCCTCCACCAGCACGGCAGGAATGGTCATCTGGCTCCTGCTCCTGGCAGAAACAGAGCTGGGACCCACGCACTTGCAGCAAATTCAGGTCATCAATTATTTGCAACACAATTTGGTGATCACCTTCAAAATTCGCTGGAGGTGCCTGTGAAGACGAAGCCCTTGGGTTACTTCAGTGGTCCTACAGCCAGGATTATCTGTGAAAACCCTGTGCTGAGCACTGCTCTGCGCCTCCTGGCATCCCTGCCACAAAGCACCGCTGGATCATTCGCTGAGGGAGGCCAAAGCGGAGGGCTGGTGAGAACAAATGGAGGAAACAAATCCATGCCAAGGTACGCGGCTGCTGCTCACGGGATGTCAGCACGAGCCAGAAGTTCACACGCCCTCGTGAGAACGGTTTGCTCTTCCTTCAAACCCTTTTTTCGTATCGGCTGTGGCAACGCTCCCTCTAGCGGCATTGCACTCGGCTGAATCCCTGTGTTAGTGACCTGGCCTAAGTACCAGGTCTCAGGCTCAAGAGCAGAGAAGCTACTACAGATGTAGAACGCATCTTTCAAGGTACCACGCAGATACGGTCTCTAGTAGTAGAGGTCTCTAGTAGACTAGGTCTCTAGCCTCTTGTATGCCATCAGCCAGGACCAGCAAAGCAGCTAGTCAAAGGAAAAAAGTGCTTAATAGCAGTGGCAACAGCGTTCATGTCTTATTTAGCTGGTTTGGGGTTTTGCTCTTTTTATTTGTTTGTTTTCCTCAACTGATTTGTTCTTGGAAAGTTACTTATTTAAAAAAAAAAAACCCACGGGCTTTGCCCTCCCCTCCCCTGGAACACCAGGCTGGGATAGCACAGCTTGACTCGGGCAACAAGTGCCCAGAGAGGATGACGTGCCAGAAGTTACATCGCAGGGGCCAGGGGGTTGGGTTGGTTGGTTGGTTGGTTTCCAACCTGTTGACTCTTCCCATTTAAATCGTATCATTCTACTCGCTACGCAACCCTCTCCCATCTCCTGAGCAACAGCCTGGCAAGGCACCCCCGCTGGTCTTACATGCTATTTCTCTGTGTCAGTCCATAACAGGTCCACCAGAACAAAGGTGGCATAAAAAGAATTGCTGGAGGGGGAAAAAAACCCCTAAAATTTCCAAGCAGCAACATGTAATGCCTTGTAGGCGTTTGGTAGCAGAATAGGTCGTATTTTATCTTCTCAGAAGTACGCACCTTCCACAGAACCACAGAATGGTTTGGGTCAGAAGGGACCTTTAAAGATCATCTAGTCCAACCTCCCTGCCATAAGCAGGGACACCTTCCACTAGACCAGGTTGCTCAAAACCCCATCCAACCTGACCTTGAACCTTCCAAACTCATATTATTAACCACACAGTCAAATTAAGTTATGAAAAGTAGGTTAAGTATTTTCTTAATTGGCTCCTGCCAACAGAGTTACTACTTAGCACTACAGATGTGGTGTTTCCAATTCACATACACCACTGCCTGACAACACTGGCCTCTGATGGTGTTAGCAGTCATATTTCCTCCCACACCACCCTGCTAGTAAACTGAGAAAACCCAGAGTTTGTGTGTGCATGTCAAAGGCTCAGTACTGCACTCTGTCCTCTTCTCAAGAGACACACGGCTTCAGCAAGATGTTGTACTCAAAACTTCCCTTATGCGACATCGCTGTTCAATCCAATTAATACAACTGTATTACTTTAACTCATTTTAATCATTAAACAGAGAAGCAGCCCCAACACATCGTTACCACTGCTTGGGTAACACTGACACCCACCCTTAAACAGCTGGAAACAGACTGCAGGTGGACAAAGAACATCAGCTACTTCATGTCGCTGTTACACAAGAGATTCCCCGCTCTCTTCCTACAGACCAGAACTGAGCACAGCTTTCAGTATGGACATTTATGCTGTGTGGTTTTTCTAGAGTAACCTATGCAAAACTGCAAAAGAATCCCTCATGCTGGGAATGGCTTCTCACCACGAGTGCAGCTGGAACTAGACTGCCAGCAAGCCATGCCACGGTTTTAGTTCGGAAGTCCCCAAGGTGAGGTTTCAGCATGCAGGCAGACCGAGGCAGCGCGCCTTCTGTGGATGGATACTCCGAGCCTGCAGGCTGTGCAGAGCAGCGGGAGCTCAAGCTGCGCACCAGCACATCTCAGCGCAGGCGAG